ATTGTAGCTGCTCCCAAATGGACAGAGTTACTCTATTAAAAGAAAATATACCTTAAACAATAAAAATATCCAAGGCAAAATAGAAAACCATCTTAAAATCAGAACCACAAGATTACCAATATAGACCTGATACTCTTTTTCTCCATCTCCTGAGACAAAAGTGCTTCTTCCAACACCTTTCCACAGCATGGGGCCTTACTTCGCCAAGCTCAAAGCCTTGTAAAAATTTCTAGGTGTTCCCTCACAGATCTGCACTGCTTCTAAAAAGGAAAACAAAACTGGAACAAACAAGAAAACCAACCAAGCACCTTCTATAAACTTGAGGGGCTGACTCAGAAGCTGCGCAATAGCTCTGATTCAGCTCTCCTGGCGAGTCAGGGCACCGTGATGCTCATGATGGAGGTCGGGCACGAGCTGCCTGCCACAGGAGGAAACTTTCCGAGGCTTTTCCTCGGAAGCTTTTTGCAAAATTTCCTCAGGAGCACTAACAGTTATTTATTTAGATGTCACAGGAGTAAATATGGCATTCACAACCCGCTGGTTGTTCATCCCTTGTTTAAAGGCACGGTTAAATATAAACGTTTACCAGCTGGGCCAGTGCCAGCAAGGACAATTCTGCTTCTTAGTCAGAGGGAAAATCTTTTTCAACGCCCACCTCTTCCTCTGAAAACTCTGCAATGCCATCAGTGATCTTCAGGGCACAATATGAATGACACCAAATCTGTCATGTGCTCTTTTTCATATAAATAAATAAATATAATAATAAAGGCCACACTAAAAATATCCTGCCAACAAAGAGGCTACTAGATAAGTGACTAAACCCGTCAAAACAGCTCCAAAAGCATAAATAGCTGCTTCCTTACAAAATACGTGAAACACGAAGTGCCACCCTAAATTTCCCCAAGTCATTTTAAACCACAGAATGCAGGCACAGCGCGGAACCTCCTCTGCACCGCACAGCTGAAAGCTCTGCTGTTAATCATTTCCAGGTTAAACAAAATCTAACCATCCACTACATCTTGCTGCAGTTTCATGATACTTTAACATCCACGAGCTACCTGCTACAACACCCTGACGTCCTAACCAGGTAGGAGTCTATTGAGTTCCCAGTAGCAGCATCACGACGTAGCGTGCCACCTAAATCACCTGAAGCCCTTAGCTTTGATGATTCCACTGCCACAACTAACGCACCTTTTGGTACATGTGTGAGGAATGCTTTCCTTTGCTGGCAGCACCCCTGCACCTGCAAGCTCTGCTTTCCACACCAAACACCTAAATTTCCAGTATCACATAGTTTCTACTTGAGTTTGATGAGTTTTACTCAATTAGTGACTGATCACCTCAAAACATACAATATTTGATCTTCAAGCTTAATAAATATTCAGTAGGATCCAGATATGAAATGCTGGGAGTGGTTAAATAATTCCTGAGAAGACTTCTGACAAAAGGCAGCACCAGAATGTCACCTGTGAAAGCCACGTTCCCCAAGACACGGAGCCCTTACTCAGGAAGAAGTAACTCAAAAAGGACCATGCAGCACACTGGTTTTTCAAAAAATGACTAAGAGAAATTTTGTTTCCCCAAATAAGCCTTCATGATAAAAGCAGCAGTAGTAATGAAATGTTTCTAACACAAAAAAATATTTTCAGGACTTGTATTTGCAAAGTGCTTCTATCAAAAAATCTGGAATTTTACATGTTTGTTTCAGTAATGAAGTAAAAAATATGAAATAAAATAAAAAAGCAAAACAAGGAAAAAAAACACATAGCCACAACTTGTGGTTACTTTAAAAACCAGCCTTCTATCAGATAATAATGTAAAGTGTTAACGATACATTTAATCAATTTTGGTAACACAAGCAGTAGACAGCAAAATTGATTTCTGTTCAGATAACAAAACGTAGCATTTTTTAATTATTGCTATTGTCGTTCCAATTGCAATGAGCATTTTTACTCTCCCTTCTCTTGTTATGTTGTAATTCTCTGAAAATGTGCTAGCTCTGCAGAAACACAAGGGTCCATGTTAGGAAAGCTTTTCACAAGGCTAAGAACCACACTGTGTAGTGTCTAAAAAAAAAAAAAAAAAAGCCTACTACTTTTTTTTCCTCCCATCACTGGACTGAAAACATCCAGCTCTATCTGCCAAAAGTGAATATTTGAATATTTTCGTATCTGCAGAACTAGCAGCAAGTGTCTAAGAATTTTTACGGAACGGGATGACAAGCACTGAAAACACTGCTGCTGATTTTCAGTAAGCACTGAGGCTAAAGAAGCCAAAGACGATGGCAAAGAAAACACAGCACTAAGTTAAGACAAGAAAAGAGGGTGACACCAGTAGGTTAGCTTGACAGATGTCTTGCACAAAGTCGTGGAACACAATCAACAAAGAAATAAAGGACGGTGGTAAAAAGTAACGCTAAACATAGGCTTACAGAAAATAGGTCTCACTAAATAAAGGCGGCGTGGCTTTCTGACAAGAATATAGGTTGGACTGGATAAAAATACCTTGTAGTTTCTGACCTACTATACTTAGATCTCTGTAAGATTTAGTGCCACTCAAGTCTGATTTAGAAGTTATTCAACACGAAGAAAACCTGGAACCTAAAACCACCTCATAAATTATTAGGGTGGCTTAGGAAAAATATTTTAAATCCACCTCATCAATAGTTAAAGCTGTTTTCTTAGCTCTAAAAATCATAGCTCATTATACCCTTGAATATTATGAAAAGCTTCTTCCCCTTTAACTTTTTCTGCAGTTGGAAAATATATATATACACAGAGTATATATAAAGGGGAGAAGTTATAAAGGTAATTTAAACTTTATGAAATAAGTTCAGAGATTTTTTTCAAGAAAGGAAACTCAACATTAACAGATTTCCTCAATTAAAACAAAATAAATCAGGTGTACTTAAAAGCCATTTTTCAAGGGAAAAAAAAAGGATAATGATGAAAAATCTGAGCCGGTTCCACACACGTGTAAAATCTTGCAGTGCTAAACTTACCTAGCTTATACTTCTCATACCCAGAGTTACCTGGAAACATTACAGAGGATCATTTCACACTTCTGACAAGGACAGGTGCGTAACAAATTATTATGTATAAGCTGCTTCAAGGTCTTACCATATGGCACACATAAAGGAATTCAAGGCAAGAGGAAAAACTACTTCATATTTAGCTTGGTTGAAAGCTTGCACACATAGGTACTTATTCCAAATGACCTGGCATGGAGGAAGGTGCCATATACCCTGCGCAAGACATTTTTTCCTACTGCATCAGTCTGCGATACTGATTCCTTAAGACCCAGAACAGAACTTCCAAGAATTTTGTAATCAGTGATATGAACGATGACAAGAATGGCATAAAAGTAATTCAGTGTTATTAACTAATTATACAGACTGCTATGTTCTAAATTAATTACTCAAGAAATTTGTCATTGTGGAGGGAGACTATCTGACCAACACTGGAATGACAAACAAAAAGTGAGAGAAGATTATACTGGATTAAAAGACAGAAAATAACACAAAAGTATTCTAACTTTACAAAACAGATAACTGTGGATTCTCACCTACAGTACTCTCCAGTTCTGATCAACTTCTCGTGACAGTAGAAACAGAAAGAGTATAGAGAAGGTCAGGAAGAATATTAAGCCTTCATAAGACTGGGATGCTTCAAGATGTTGAAGATCCGAGTTCCAAGAGGCAACCAATGGGTAAAGAGGGAAAGGCAGCAACAAACCGCACTGTACAAAACCTGTGTAGAGGAGTTCACCTCGGCCTTCTCATCCTGTGCCAGAGTATGAGGGCTGTATCAGAGGGACTGATGTCTTCGGAAAAGCAAAGGGTTTTGTCAAATCAGGTGTATTAAACGGCAACAAATGAAGAAAAGAACTTTTTTTTTGTAGCACAAACACAGTTCACGTATGCACGGTCCATTCTTTGGTCCAAAGTTTGTATAACTGAATAGTCAGATTTTGACATAAAAGTATTATCACTCACAAATCATATATAGAGTAATACACGTAGATGTCAAGAACAGAATTACTTATCTAAATTTTCTGTGTTGGAAATTGTTTATTCTCAAAAGTTCAGTTGGTGTTTCAATGACCCCTCACTGGAGTGCTTTCCCAATAGCACCTTCCAAAGAACCTGACAAGTTGCCACTGCTGAAGGCAAAGTAATGGCTTGAAACCACCTAGCAATATGTAAATTTCTGTTAAATGTCTCTGTCCAGAACAAAAAAGAACCAGTAATCACTCACAGCTCTAAAAGCAGCAGAACAGATGATGCTGCATGCGATTTTGTTCTTTTCTTACCTCCATTTTCTGCATGACCCTGGGGCTGTCAGTGCCAGGCCCTGTGCAGAACGAGCCCTCAGACCTGCAGGTTTGAGGCCAAAACCATCAGGGAGTACCAGGGTGGCAACCCTGGCTGTACCATTACTACAGTGGGACATAAATTACAGTAATGTTGCCAACTTTAGCATGGCATAAGCATTCAAGTCAGTGGTCCAAAAAGCTAAAACTCAACGCTTGATACCGGTCACACTGTAGTATCTCCAGACACCCAAGCACCAGAAAAAAAGATTTCTGCATCCCTAGAACCAGATGGGCTTGGATGTCCCTTCCACCCCAAGCCATCCCGTGACACCAGGCCGTCCTGCTCCAAGCCCTGCTGCCTGCCCTCCCGGTGTCACACCCCACAGGGACAACCCCAGGGCTCCAGCAGCCCCCACACCCCCCCAGGGGCACCTCCATGCCCACACCCCGCTGCAGCCACCCTCGAGGAACCCCGACCCCTAGGACCCCACAGCGGGGTCCACAGGACCCAGAGGACGAAGCCAGCGAGGTGAAAGCCTCAGGATGAAGTCTTGAGGGGCTCAGCGAGGCGTCGAGGCCAGGCCTCCATGTGCCGGGGGGCTCGGGGCTGGAGAGGTGGAGCCTGGCTCGGGGCGGGGGGGGAGGAATCGGGGCCCTTTTTCTTCCCTCCCCCTTCATCCCCTCACCTGGCGGGGCCGCCCCTCGCCAGGGGGCCGCTCACGTCGCCCTCCGGCCCTCCCCAGCCGCCCGTCCTCCTCCGTCCCCTGTCCTCCTTCACCGGCGCTGCCACCACCACCGCCGCTCAGGCCCCGGCCGCCGCCGCCTCCCCCTCCATGGCGGCCGCTCCCGCCGGCTGCATTGTGGGAGCTGACCTCACTCCCTGCCGCCGCCCCGCCGCCTCCGCCGCTCGCCGCCATGGGGGCCGTGACCGACGGTGAGCCCTCCCTCCTGCCCTTTTCCCTTCATCGTGCCCCCCTCCGGCCCTAGCCGACCCCACAAACCCCCAGCCCCTTTCCCCAACCTCTCCCCCCCCCCTCCTCCCGGCCGCCCTCCTCTGTCCGCGGCCTCCCCTCCCGCTGCTTCTCCTCCGCGGCTCCTCCCGGGTTAACCCGGCCCGGGACAGGCACTAAAAAAACAGCAAAACCTTTTTATTTTTCTTTTTATTTTTTCTTTCCCTCAGATGAAGTTATCCGCAAACGGCTGCTAATCGATGGCGACGGGGCGGGTGACGACAGGCGGATCAATTTGTTGGTGAAGAGTTTCATTAAGTGGTGCAATTCCGGATCTCAGGAGGAAGGGTATTTGTTGTCTTTTTTTTTGTTTTGTTTTGGACTAATTAGTCTGCGTTTCGGGGGGAAATTGGGCTTGATCTGCTTTGAAAAAGCAAATCTGCCATGTTAAAATGCACGCATCTGCTGCTCTGCTTTGGCTCTGTGGTGTTTCCAGGACAAAGACGGGGTGTTAGGGTAGGAGATGAGGGCTGGAGATGGCTCAAAAATTACTCCACAACCCCCTCATGAAATCTAACAGTGCTCTGAACGTCCTCAAGCTTGCCTTGTTGCTTCACGATCCAGCAGTCACGATATCATAGCACTATCGTGACTTGAATAGTTTAGGTGGTGGTTGTGCAGTTGTTCCCCTAGGTAAGGGAAGCGCTGTTCCTGTGTCTGCTTGTCTTTATTTTTTAAAAAACAAACCAAAGCAGTGGGGGAAATAATGCAGTGTTCTGCTGTGGGGGCTATTTTAAGAACAGATGTAAATTCCAGGAGGACACCGGGTAAGGATAGCAGGTACAGTGAAGCACGGGAGTATTTAAATGTGAATCTTGGTGGTCACAGAGCGAACAATGCCTGGATCAGCCTGCGCAGTGCTTTAATACCAACTTTGAACCTTATAGAACATCATTATAGAATTACTTGATACAGTGTTTCTGACTGCACTTCCAAAAATTATACATTGAATCTTTGAAATATTTTATTTGTTTAGTAATTACTGTTTAACTGTTTCTTATGTTACCTGAGGCTTTGTTTTCTTGTTATATAGACAGGTATTTTCATGCTGCTTAGGAATGAATATTTTGTCTGCTTTCAGTTACAGTCAGTACCAACGGATGCTGAGTACTTTATCACAGTGTGAATTTTCAATGGGAAAAACTCTTCTGGTATATGATATGAACCTGAGAGAAATGGAAAATTATGAAAAAATCTATAAGGATATAGGTAAAGATGAGAAAATACTATTTGTTTTTTTTTGTTGTTGTTGTTGTTGACTATTTCTCTTTCATGAAGAAACTAGAGGCAGTTCTGGTGAACGTAATATATACATATGATGAGTAATTTATTTATTTTTAAATAGCACCCATGATTACCTTGTAAGCCTCTCATCCACATGTACAATACTTATAAATAAAAACATTTTAAATCTATTGAAGTGTATGTAGTTTTGAAGCTTAAGGAACTAGCAGGCCACCATATCAAAAACAGCTATTTATATTTTTATAGTTTAGTAGAATGGCTTTTTGACATGTGTTATTTGACTTCAGTCTAACTCTGTACATCTTTTTGGTAAAGAAAATAGTATAGCTGCAGCACACGAGAAGATTTCTGAATGCAAGAAACAAATCCTGCAAGCAAAAAGAATTCGAAAAAATCGCCAGGGTAAGAAGCAACATCTACATTTACACTGTGTGGTTTCATACATTGTACCAGAAAATAGATTATAAATTTTGGAAAATGCAGGGGAAAATTCTAGCATTGTCAATACTATATGTAGCCTGGTGGGTTTCATACCTGCTAGTATAAGTTTGGGGGATGAGCCAGTAGATCTCGGTGACATACAACATCAGGAAAACCTAAAGAGCAGTTCAGGGAGTTGTTTTCAGGCCAAAGAAAAAAACAAAAACAAAAGCATCCAATGGCAATTCAGGTGACATAAGACCTAAAGCATATTATTAACAGCAAGACAACAAAAAAAAAAGAAGACATATCCAACACTGAAAATATTGTGCCAGTTGCACACCTACCATCTCCATAGGTAGCCTTACAAAATACCTTTTAACCAGGTACAAGAGGCATATGTGTTCCCTGCTCTTAAAAGTATATGCTGGTAATTTCAGTTGAAACTTAAAGCATTTCCTTGTAATACAGTCTTGGCCTACTACACAATTGTTTCTATCTGAATGAGGTGTTCAGCATACGTACAATATTACCATTAGGAAACGTCTATGTTAGTTGCCTATATGACCATAATGTTGTTCTTAACATGCAAAATATTGAATAAATACATTCAGTTGTTTCTCTTGTAGAATTTTGTATTTTTCTCTAAAAAAAAACTAAATGTTTGTGTAGTATCTTATCAACACAATTTTTTTAAATATATATATAAAATATGGTATCTAAAAGCAGTATTTTTGAATCATACACAAAGACCAAGTGTGCAACAGTGCAGTTATCTAAAGATCATGTTTTCTGGCCTCATCTTCTGCAAAGCTCTAGTACTGGGTAAGTTTGAGTGAGTAAATAATAGCTTACAATCATATCTGAAGTTTATTTAAAACAGCTTTTGATGTGATCATCTACTTTTAAATGTTATGGTACGACAAATTATATACATTTATATATTATATACGTATATAATATATATGACAAATTACATACATTTTAATATGTATATTTGCACAAATACTTTTTAAGGTGTATAGCATATTACATACAAATTTGAAAATATTAAAACACTTTTTCAGGAAGTAGAAAGAACTAGTACTATGCTATGGTGTGAAAGTTTTAATTCTTCAATTTGTATTTTCAGACTTGCTTAGACTAATAACATTTAAATTTCTTTCAGAATATGATGCACTGGCCAAAGTAATACAGCATCATCCAGACAGACATGAAACACTGAAGTAAGTATGAGACTGCATTAAAGTATAATAACCCAGAAAGTTACAAATCATGAGATTTGACATTTCCTTGGTTTCAGTTTGACCTTTCCTTACTGTTATATAATTTGACACCAGAAAAACTTAGGTTTCATTTTAAAATTGTGCCCATATGAGCTTTCTTTAATTAATCTCCATCTGTATGGATTCAGAAGCATTGCTAATAATTTTGTATTTGAAATTTTTCCATTGTTAAGGTGAATGAGTGAACTCAGATGTAAATGCACGACAGTTTATCAGTGACAAGTTGATCAGGAAAGAGAGATAGCGCGGCAGTACTCTAAAGTGCACCAGCAAGTAATTATGCAGAATATATATCACACAGGCAAGTAAGATAGAATTAGAGAAAGCAGGAGAAAGCTTTTAGGCTTGTTCTATGTTTTCCTTGTAGTAGTTGTTCCTGCATGCCCGGTTATAAATTACTACCTTATATACCACAATATAACCTGCCCTAGCACGTAGATTAGACCTACCTGCTGTCCGGCATGTCCTGATTATAACTTACAGTACCACCTGTGTCATAGTTGGATTTGGATCACTGCTTGTGCTTTTGGGTCATTTTGAATAATCATGGGGAGATCATCTTTTGAACTTTATCAAGCCACAAAAACATTCCATCTGTGAGTTTGTTCTTTACATGATTGAAGATGTAGCATCGGATTACTTTCTCATTTAAATGCAACTTGTGCCTATCCTGATGTCTTCTTTCAATAAAATTGTTATTTCACGTTTCATGGTGTTTTATAGCAAAATGAAGCTTTTTGATCATATCATTACCCTAATATAAACATTTTTATGGCTATAAACTTCTGGGACTATTTCACACACTTCTTTTTTGAATGTTTTTTTTTTTCCTTTCGATTTTGCTACCACAATTTGGATTATTTCAGTCCATTCTCGTGTGGCTGAGCTACTTCTCACTTCATTAGTCAGCATATGCCATTTATCAAGTGACACTTCGTAATAAAGAATTATTACAAGTGAAGCTTTTTCAGATAAGTCAATTGATTAAGAATGGAAATAACTAAACAATTTTTTTTTTTTTTAATGAGAATTCCAGGTTGTTTCGATTTTTTTGGGGGTAGTTTTAATTTTGTGCAACACATCCAGGTGTGAGTTTCTTTAGCAAAGCTAGGAATGGCAGTAACTTACAGCTAGTAAATTTAGCATTTTGTCTTTTTCTTAAACGTCATTTTCTCCTCTCTTTAGAAGGGTGTATATTGTTAGAAATACCAGCATGCTCATGCATTGTAAGAGTGTCTACAATATATGCCCTTTTGTCCTTAGTCCTTTGTATTTGTAGCCAAAGATACAGACTTGAACTACAACAGATTGAGTCTCCATTTTACAGAGTTTATAAATGGAACATAATAGAAAAAAAAGTTTGAAGGGAACTTGCTTCAAAGGTATTTTAGCTTTAACTAACCTCTCCAAGTGAACACTACATACAGAAGCTAGATGAAATTTTCCTCTAGTATTTTTATTGCAAGGCTTCCTTTCTCTCCAGTTTGAGGGAAGTACAGAAAAATCAAGTACTGTTAATCAAGAAAGACCAGCCTTAAATCAGAGTGGAGGAAGCCTTGCTAACAATGTCTTGAACTCAATCACTGAAAACACTAGAGAAAATGTCTGGTGAGGAAAAATGTCATACTTTATCGCAAGAGTTACATTTATAGCTTTTGCAGGTCATATGACACAATAGGACAAAGTTCAGAGAAATAATTTTTTAATGCTTTTAAGGGACTATTTCTTGGAACAACCAGTCCTGAAGCACAAAAGAAGAGAAGTAGTTATTGACTTAGTCAAGAGTAATGCACAGTAGCCAATTCAGGAAGTGACAGGAGCTGAACCACTAAATGATAGTGCCCACGGTGTAATTAGCTGCAGTA